CCCCCCCCCCCCCCCCCCCGGTGCTGTGGAGTCCCTGGAGGTGCCATCACACCTGACACCTGGCAGTGCTGAGCGTTGGTTTTGCTTTTCCTACCCAGTTGCTTCGTACTTTTACTTGGGAAAGATCCGCAGACTGTGCTGCTACCGCGCCTGTGCGTCTCCCAGGGATTCTCCTGCGTCTCTTCATTCGGGGCCCGAGGAGACATCACCCCCAGGAAGGCTCGCTGATCTGCCTCAAGTCGCGCAGCCAGTGAGTGGGGAAGCCAGCATTTGGACCTGGCTCTAATTAGAGCCCTTATCCCATCCCCTCCCCCCAACTACATTTTGTTTTAAAAATTGCTCTTGCTATTCCCACCTTTAAAACCTACCTTGGTTTCTCCTAAAGTTTAGGACCTAAACCAACCGTACAGACCTCCCCACTCGGGACCCACCTGCCTGTCCAGCCTCATCACCCCGCTCCCTACACGCCCCTCTTCTGCCCCGAAAGCCACCTCCAGTCCCTCCCTGACCCCTGACTGCTCTCCTCTCCGTTACCTCTTCTTCAAAGTCCAAATCCTTTCCCCTCTAATCAATTGCTAACAACTCTAGTGAGTCTGAGACTTTTTTTCATGACGGGGCTGGGGGCGTCCCCTAGGCCTCTCTGTGTCCCGGGGCTGCGGTAATGAAGGATCGCGGGCTGAGTAACTGGAAACAACAGGAATTTGTTGTCTGATGGCGGTGAAGCTGCAGGTCCCCGTCGGCAGTCAGCGGGGCTCTGCTCCCTCTGCAGCTGGTGAGGGGCCCTTCCTCACGTCCACCTGGCCTTGGGACTTTGCCAGCCCCCCGGCTTGGAGACGCATGACCCCCCATCCTCCGTCTCCACACGGCTGTCATCTCATAGGGACACCAGCCATATTGGACCAGGGGCCACTCTGCTCCAGGGCGACCTCCTCTAAACTAAGTACACCTGTGATGGCCCTATCTCCAAGTAAGGCCCCATTCTGGGCGCCGGAGGTTTGGACTCTGACGTATTTTGGGGGGATACCACCCGAGATCTTCTCCTTCCACCATTGCAGCAGGCAGGCTGCCTTCACGTTTCTCTTCAGGGAAGGATGGGACAGAACGGAAAGAGCCAGCAAGCCTTTGGCTTCTGTGTTTCCTGGAAACCTAAAGACAATCATGTTGAACCTAAAGTCATGAGATACTGGCCAGAAGCAGAGAACAGAAGGGCTTCCCCCAGGTTTGGAAACTCTGTTTCCCTGCGAGGGGCAGGGAGGCAGCGAGGCCGGGAAAGGGAGAGGCTGCCTGGCATTTGGAGATGGACGGGGTCCCTCTCACCTGGCGCCCTGGTCTCAAACGGAGCCAGGCAGCCACCGAGGTGCGAGGTCCGAAGGCCATGCCGCCAGTTAGAGAGCAGGTCTTACCTCCTCCCCCACACCCCCAACTTTCCCTTTTTTGGTATCTTGTGTGTCCTCAGACCGAGTACACGGAGGCCAGCATGTTGGTGGTAGAAGCAGGAATCTGAAGCAGTCTGAGTCCTAGGGGCAGGTCCCTGCACCGTCATGCCAGCCAAGCAGGTGGTTTCACCATCCAGACCTCAGCATCCTCCTGGAAACCATGGAGATAAGAAGCATCAGAATCGCTTCCTGTGACAAGGAAATTAGAGGAGGCTCCTCATGTGCCCAGCGCTGCAGGGCTCTCATAAACCATCGCTGCCTCTCTCCGCGGCATCCTCTCTGAGCCTCCGTTTCCTGATCTGTAAAATGGTGGCTTCACACATGTTGTCTGAAGATTCAAAAGAAACCAATGCCTGTGGAAATGATCTGAGTGATAAAGTACTTTAAGAAGCTGCCGGTGTCCAGAGCGTTGCTCCGTCAATGCTTATGCCAGGCTGCGCCCTTCCCTGGGGAGCTCGGGGACACTCACGGAGGCGGGCGTGCTCTTTCTCTGTCGGTGACGGTCCCACACATCCCCAGCGGGGCATTTCCTTCTTGAACCTGTTTCTCTCCTAAACCTTCATCCACTGAGACTCCCATTGTGACCACGGGAATTCATGGGATGGCCAGGCTGTGGCTTTGCAAAGCCCCCTGAATCTGGGAACTGAGCCGCCTGCTGGGACAGTGGCCGCAGCCAAGCAGCTGAGTGCGTGTCTTGCTACCGGTTCTTCCCGCCTTCCTGGATCGTCTGAATCCAGACAACTTTGGCCCATCTCTCAGGGTCCCCCCGGCAACCCCTGGCCTGCGTCTGATCTCTTGTCGTACCTGGTGTGACACGTGTCCCCTTCCACACAGGCCCCAGGCCGCTGTGACGCCCTCCACTCAGGGCCCGGGTCGAAGGCTGCGGTGCCAGCGAGTGGAAGGCAGCCACAGCCTGACCCTGGCTCCGGTGTCTCTCGGTGGCAGTGTCGGTATAAGGATCAGTGGGCTCCTGGTGGTGATGGCATGTGCGGCCCCATATCCAGAATCTGCTTCTGTGCTGGCCGTAGAAGGCACATCTGCCCACCAAACAGTCAATGAGGCCCGAGAAACCAGCCAGGCCTGTGCTAGGAGCTGTGAGGGGTCATGGAACCCGAGACACACGGGTTGCACGGCACACCGTTCTTTTATTTTTTATTTTTTAAATATATTTTTATTGATTTCAGAGAGGAAGGGAGAGGGAGAGAGATAGATACATCAATGATGAGAGAGAACCATCGATTAGCTGCCTCCCGCAGGTCCCATCCTGGGGATTAAGCCTGCAACCCGGGCACGTGCCCTCACCAGGAATTGAACCTCCACCTCCTGATGCATAGGTCAACCACTGAGCCACACCAGCCTGGCACCAGGTCTCCTTTGAAAGAGCTATGACCTTGTTGGGGGAGAAAACACACATGTGCACACACCACACACTAGCAACGAGGCAGAGTCTGCCTGGCTGTCAGAGGAGTGTGGAGATCTCAGTGTTTTAAGAGCTGAGACTGAGCCCCAGCTGGTTTGGCTCAGTGGATAGAGCATCAGCCTGCGGATTGAAGGGTCCCAGGTTTGATTCCAGTCAAGGGCACGTACCTAGGTTGCAGGCTTGATCCCTAGCCCTGGTCAGGGTGTGTGCAGAGGCAACCAATTGATGTGTCTCTTTCACATTGATGTTTCTCTCTCTGTCTCTCCCCCTCCCTTCCACTCTCTCTAAAAACAAACAAACAAACAAACAAAAAAGATCTGAGACTGGAATAGTTGTTATTGGTTGGACCTTGAAGTTCAGATTGGACCATTAGCATCTAGGTGTGGAAGGGTCACTGGACCATGAAGGAAGGAGAAACAGGAAATGATCAAGTAGAAAAGACAATCTTATTCCCAGATTGTGGTCCTGCCTAAGGAGTTTGGATTTTATTTTGTAAGCAATGGGGAGCCACAGAGAGCTGTGGGGAGCGGAGGAGCACCCCAAGCAGCACTTCAGGAACATTAATCTGCAGGGAACAGACAGAACATATAATAGGAGACGATGTCTGAAGTCCAGATGTGCAGCAAAGAGGAGAACAGCCATGTAAAACGAAGGGAAGCAACAGAGGGAAACGAACAAAAAATAACCAAACAAGCAGGACTTGTTCAGGAAGAGGAGTGAGTCCAGACCACATCCCAGGATCTGAGCGTGGGCAGCTGAAGAAGCATCGCCGAGTGAGTGACTCAGAAGCCTGAAGGTCCTGGGGTCCTATTTGCTACCACAAGCCTTCGCGGTCCATACAGAAGGAAACCCTACACTCACCCTCCAAGGAGGCGCCCACGGCACTCCAGGCTGAAATCACACTGTGGTTGCCATAGTTTTCTGTTCTAGAAAGTGGTCTTCGCGATATTGACATCTTTGCGGAGGATGTACTGGGGACTGAAAGTACATCCTGCTATTATCAGTATCTGAGACATTTCACAAAGTCTCATTTGGTTTTGCAACTTCCCTGTGTAGTAAAGCAAGGGCAGGTCTGGGCTTTGAGAAATAAATGCCTTTTATAAAAGTCACATTCTTATATAATCCAAGGTTTCCTGATACAACGTGTGTATCTACTTTGTGTTTGCTCTAGACCTCGCTACATTCAGTAAAACGGAACAGAGCACTTTGAAAACACTGGCACCCTGTAAATTCCAGGTAGTGGCCCCAGGGAGATGGTTTACTCATGGATGTGAATTCTTATTAAGAGATTCTAACCTGCCCTAGCTGGGCTTGGCTCAGTGGATAGAGTGTCGGCCTGCGGAACAAAGGGTCCCGGGTTCGATTCTGGTCAAGGGCACATGCCCAAGGTTGCGGGCTCGATCCCCAGTAGGGGGCGTGCAGGAGGCATCCAATCAATAATTCTCTCTCATCATTGATGTTTCTATCTCTCTCTCCCTCTCCCTTCCTCTCTGAAATCAATAAAAATATATTTAAAAGAAAAAAATTTTTTAAAAAAGAGAGAGATTCTAACCCATCCCTAATGTCTGGGCAAAGCGTAGGCGGGGTGTGTTGTGGGCAGAGCTGGCCACCGGTCAGGCAGTGATGCCCTTGAGAGTGTACAGTCCAGGGTTTTATCTTGTTGGTTTTGGAGGAAGCACTTTTCAGAGTCCAGGGAAAACACTATACAAGTAGAGTTTTGTCCTTCAAATGGATCATGGTCCAGGAGAGAAATGATAGTCCAGGTGAGGATCATGGTCCAGGAGAGGGATCATGGTCCAGGTGAGGGATCATGGTCCAGGTGAGGAATCATGGTCCAGGGTAGGAAGCATGGTCCAGGGGAGGGATCATGATTCAGGTGAGGAATCATGGTCCAAGTGAGGGATCATGGTCCAGGTGAATATCATGGTCCAGGTGAATATCATGGTGCAGGTGAGGGATCATGGTCTAAGAGAGGGATCATGGTCCAGGTGAGGATCATGTTCAAGGTGAGAGATCATGGTCCAGGTGAAGATCATGGTCCATGAGGGATCATGGTTCAGATGAGGATCATGGTCCAGGTGAGGATCATGATCCACATGTGGGATCATGGTGCAGGTGAAGATCATGGTCCAAGAAAGGGATCATGGTCCAGGAGAGGGATCATGGTCCAGGAGAAGGATCATGATTCAGGTGAAGATCATGGTGCAGGAGAGGGATCATGGTCCAGGTGAGGGATCATGGTCCAGGTGAGGATCATGGTCCAGGAGAGGGATCATGGTCCAGGTGAGGGATCATGGTCCAGGTGAGGATCATGGTCCAGGAGAGGGATCATGGTCCAGGTGAGGGATCATGGTCCAGGTGAGGATCATGGTCCAGGAGAGGGATCATGGTCCAGGTGAGGGATCATGGTCCAGGTGGGGATCATGGTCCAGGAGAGGGATCATGGTCCAGGTGAGGGATCATGGTCCAGGTGAAGATCATGGTGCAGGAGAGGGATCATGGTCCAAGTGAGGATCATGTTCCAGGTGAGGGATCATGGTTCAGGTGAGGAATCATGGTGCAGGAGAGGGATCATGGTCAACCTGAGGGATCATGGTTCAGGTGAGGAATCATGGTCCAGGAGAGGGATCATGGTGCAGGAGAGGGATGATGTTCCACGTGTGGGATCATGGTTCAGGTGAGGAATCATGGTCCAGGTGAA